GGTTGGCTTTATGACAGAGTCCAATTATTTTATGTCAAATCACCATAGTGCAAATGTCAAAAATCGGCTGGATGATCAGCATGGGACACTTCCTACTTATGAAATGTACGTCTTAGATTAACTGGTGGGATACTTCTTACTGATGAAATGTACGTCTTAGATTAACTGGTGGGACACTTCATACTGATGAAACGTACGTCTTAAATTAACTCTGGTGGGACACTTCTTCATATTGATGAAATGTTTGTCTTAGATTAACTGGTGGGACACTTCTTACTGATAAAATGTACGTTTTAGATTAACTGGTGGGGCACTTCTTACTGATAAAATGTACGTCTTAGATTAACTGGTGGGACACTTCTTACTGATGAAATCTACGTCTTAGATTAACTGGTGGGACACTTATTATTGATAAAATGTACGTCTTAGCTTAACTGGTGGGACACTTCTCACTGATGAAATCTACGTCTTAGATTAACTGGTGGGGCACTTCTTACTGATAAAATGTACGTCTTAGCTTAACTGGTGGGACACTTCTCACTGATGAAATCTACGTCTTAGATTAACTAGTATTTCACCCCAGTCCACTTGAGAAGCTGATGTTGTTGTGAATGACAAAACTCCAGAACATATACATAAACAATGTCGACGTTGAGTCATAAATTATACACTTATAATCAATAGATTACCGAATAAGCGTTCTATGTACAAGTTACAACCTTTTTTTAAGACACATATTATAGAGTTACTGAATGTGATATTTCCTTCGAACCACATACCTAAGTATTAACACTATATTTAATCTCTGTAAGCGGAACTATGTTGCTAACCCGTGTGTCCACAGGTGGCGGATTGTGGAACGACCTTCAGTAAAAATTAGCTGCGAAATAATCAAAGGATAACTCTGATGAATAAGCAGTCTTGGACCAAACAGCGGCAATCCCAGCAGGGTATGGAGGTCTTCAACAGCAGAGTAGGCGGAAGAAGAGTCTCAACGAAGGCTGCAATAGAGTAAGATCACCAATCCCTCTTGTTGTATCAAGGTCTCATTCTGTCAAGAACCGTGTAGAAGCTGATGTGCAATAGTTTCTCCACGATAAAAGAAATTACGCATGGTCGTCTTCCATGGAAGCAACATCTTCCAGTACTTTCTTCAAACCCTTCAATTATAAGCTAGTGATGACAGGGGAAGGATAATGAGTGTGAAAGCTCAAAGTCATGAAACAGCACAAAGTCAGCAGTTGCAAGAAGATCGTATAACACTTGGACGAGACAGGAGTATTTTTGACAGCTGTAATTGCGACTGAGCAATCCTCTCCAGGTTTCTTCCCTGCTCAACCCTCATGGGGAGGCGGCTAAAAATTATGCCCTAAACCTTTTTTGGATTGGATAACCACGTCCAGTTGGATCACCAACATCGACACCAAGTCTTGGGAAACTATTGCCCTGGACTGTTTAACATGGAGGAGGAGTCTGCTGCAAGGACCTCAACAACCATGCGATGGCACCAGGAGACGAAAAGGTGGAAATTACAGAAACAGCATATTGTGGACCAAATCGACAATACAAGTCCACCTATTCCAGTCGGAAACGAATGCCCAAACTGCAACGGTGTCTTTTGATCCCAGATCACCTTCATCAGCCATCTTCGGATCCACAGATAAGATCATAATGGAAGACTATTATCCTAAACTGTGAGGGAATGCCAGGATGGAAAATTTTCTCTGAATTTTCTGCCCATAGAAATATAATTAGTTCTTTCTGGTTTACCCTTAATAAATATAATAGCTTATGATTTAGAAGTATAAATTCGAAAACCTCGTTTGTCACACTATTATGAATATTTCATCTAAAGCCTTTTTGGATAGTTCAATTAAGAAATTTACTTTTCTTCCTGCTTTCCATACAGCAGAATATTCAGTAAAAATTCATGACATGTTGCTAGACATAATTAAGTCATTGATAGCTAACAAAAAGAAACTGGGCTAACAATATTCTATGAGAAGTACCGTTTGTTATAAATTTTGGTTAGTTACTGTTCCGTCATATGTTTTTATTGAACACTCAACCACTCCGAAATGCGAAAAAAAAATAGTCCTAATGTTCTTTTGTGTGTGGGGTGGGGGAAGTTATAATTTTCGCTCAACGTCACACAATAACTATCTTCTCATAACTGTCCCTAATTATAATTTAAGAGCACACACTGACAACTTTTGGTGACCTCTTTTTCAAACGGTCCCCTGGTGGAACAGCGGTAAGTCTACGGATTTACAGAACTAAAATCAGGGGCTCGATCCCCCTCGATGGACACAGCAGATAGCCCGATGTGGCTTTGCTATAAGAACAACATACACGCTTTTCAGATGTCAAGTTTAAGTAAAAATATCTCTTTTTCAAGAACTGTTTACTCAAAAAGATTTTAGAATTGAGATTTTGTCATTTCTGTAGAGATACGGGGAGTCTCGCCTGTAAACTTATTGATGCTTCTTTAATGTTTTGGGTCATACAAAAGTACATGTCTATATTACCTAAGACGCTATCTTCTTTGAGAATATGATTCTCAAAATTTTGTTCCTCGGATGATTTTCCTATCTTTCTTTGATTTTATTAGTACAGCGTGTCACTCGCACCCTTTCATGGCCACACAGCATTTGATCTGAAGAACCACCAATGTAACTCGGCAATAAAGCAGCTAAAAGCAAAGTTTACATACTATTGACTATAAGATATTATATTGTTACGTCTCTGGTCGTTAGTTAATATCCCGTATAATTTCTTTCCGATGAAACTTTAGCGACACAAGTCCTTTCTTAAATAAAACTGGTTTATTCTTTCTCAATACATGGTCGAGGCTTCCTGGCTCTGGATAGGACTCCTGAGCCATCTCCGTATCCACAGATAGACCAAATGATGTCGTGGTCTTCTTCGAACTTCGAAGGACGAACAACAACAACAACAACACTAGATATGCGGTATTCATGTATATAAGACCGCCAAGAAGTGACGGCAACAATGGAATGTAATTGAATTGCTGACAGAGATAGAGACGGACAATTGAGTCGAGCGCGTGTGTCGTTCGTTGTGAATTATAGCGTTTGTTTAAGTTATAGCGTGACCGTGGAAATTAAGTGAATTTCAAAGACATTCCCGGCATATATGGCTTGGTGTCCCATTCTGAGTCGACCGCACCCGATCCTTCCGAGCTGCACGTTTCCCCTCGGCAACCAATCGACGTTTACATTCTGCTGTCACCAAACCCTGCTGAACCTTCGTTCTCCACAGAAATCTATCCTGGGCGAGCGACTCCCAGTTCACATGGTTGATGTCGAACTTTTGCAGAGATAGTTTTAAACAGTCTTTAAAACGTTTCTTCTGTCCTCCAACCGATCGTTTACCTTCACTAAGTTCACCATAGAGAACTTGCTTCGGTATTCTATCAGCTGGCATTCTCACGAGGTGACCGGCCCATCTGACTTGTGCTTTCTGGAGAAG